ATTCGAGACCCACGCTGCCATCATGCCACTGCCCAGGAGTGGGTGGGATGGAGCCCAAGACCCTGGAGTTCAGGTGCTGGTAGCGGGATTTGCTTTCCTTACAAAGGAAGAGGCTGTTGCTCTTGTGCCCGGTGGAGTTGAGGCTGTACAATGAGGGGAGGGAGCTGGCCACAGGGGAAAAGAAAGCAGAGAGGGAGGAAGGTGGGGCCCCACCTGCATGTCCTGGCGAGCACCATGTCATCTGGAGAGCATCATGTGGCCAGGTCCACCCAGCCACACAGATGCCGAGCACTCAACACACCAAGCAGCACGGCTGCATTTGATTCTCCCAAGAGAATCAACTGATTCCCAGGAAACAGAGCTTCTCCTTGTCCTGGCCTGCTGCCACCCACACATGCCTGAAGGGTGCCAAAGGGGCTTTGCACTGCCCAGGTCATGGCTTCCTCATGCCCATGTCTCAGTCCTTACACTGATAGTGGCTGGGGGCTGTCCTCCAGGTCCGGCCACACATCTGACCTCACCGGCCGAGGCCGCGGGAGCTCTGCTGGCATCCTGGGTCCCGGCCGAGCCCGCGGGAGCTCTGCTGGCCTGGGTTCCATCACCAATAATGCTGGAAAGGCATCACAGTCTATGTGAGTGCTCCAGGTTTGGGGGAGTTCTGTGCTGTGTGAAGTCTGCAGGCCCCTGCCCAGATCATGGGAGTGGACGGGAGAGGCTGCTCTGCACACGTGGCCAGTGGCCCCCCGGCCGGAGGGCCAGGAGGCAGTGAAGGGGCTCTGCCTGCCCTGGACCCCAGGAGATTCCAGTCACTGCTCCACGTTCCCTGCAGCTCAGCACGGCCACGCATTTAAATTTTCAAGTCAAGCCAGAAAGTCAGATTTTAATCTGAAATCCAATTCTTAAAAAGTTGGCACAACCTCAAAAAAGAAAAAAGCAATACTGTGAAGGCCGTCCAAAGACATGGAGAGCGGCGGGGCTGGAGGCTGCTCCCTCCCGAGTGGAGACAGACGTCTTAGTTCTTGCCAGAAAGGTGACAACTCTCTCCCAAGATGGGCAATTCCTCCTTCAAAGATGAAGAACTGTTCCCCCAGCCTTCTCGCCATTTTCCCCTGAGGGAAGATGTGCTGGCGTTTGCACTTCATTCCTTGCACTTGCTAGATGGGCACTCTACCATGAGCCATACTTCCAGCCCTTTCTCGTTCGTTATTTTTGACCGGAGTCTCACTTTTTGCATAGATCAGCTTGGATCACGTGCTCCTACTTACACTTCCCCTATGGCTGGAGTGCCAGGTGCACACCACCACACCCAGCTTTTCATTGGTTGAGATGGGTCACACAAACTTTTTATCCAGGCTGGCCTCAAATGACAATCCTCGTCTCAGCTTCTCGAAGAGCTAGGATTAGATGCATGAGGCCGCATTGCTTGGCTTTTGGGGTTGTGAGCACAGCCTTGCTCAGGAGTGCTGGGGTTGTGAGCACTGCCTTGCTCAGCAGGAGTGGCTGGGGTTGTAAGGACAGCCGTGCTCAGGTGTGGCTGGCGTTGTGAGCACAGACTTGCTCAGGAGTGGCTGGGGTTGTGAGCACAGCCTTGCTCAGCAGGAGTGGCTGGGGTTGTGAGCACAGCCTTGCTCAGCAGGAGTGGCTGGGGTTGTGAGCACAGCCTTGCTCAGCAGGAGTGGCTGGGGTTGTGAGCACAGCCTTGCTCAGCAGGAGTGGCTGGGGTTGTGAGCACAGCCTTGCTCAGCAGGAGTGGCTGGGGTTGTGAGCACAGCCTTGCTCAGCAGGAGTGGCTGGGGTTGTGAGCACAGCCTTGCTCAGCAGGAGTGGCTGGGGTTGTGAGCACAGACTTGCTCAGGAGTGGCTGGGGTTGTGAGCACAGCCTTGCTCAGCAGGAGTGGCTGGGGTTGTGAGCACAGCCTTGCTCAGGAGTGGCTGGGGTTGTGAGCACAGCCTTGCTCAGCAGGAGTGGCTGGGGTTGTGAGCACAGCCTTGCTCAGCAGGAGTGGCTGGGGTTGTGAGCACAGCCTTGCTCAGCAGGAGTGGCTGGGGTTGTAAGGACAGCCGTGCTCAGGTGTGGCTGGGGTTGTGAGCACAGCCGTGCTCAGGTGTGGCCTGGGTGGCCTCAGATATTCTGTGTAGTGGGCAAGGGTGAGCTTGAGGCCCCTTTACCACCAGAGTCAACCCTGACAGAGGAGCCAGGAGGCCCCAAGAAAGGGCAGGATGTGGGGCTGGGAAGGTGGCTCAGGGGTAGAGTGCTTGCCTCGCATGCATCAGGCTCTAGGTTCGATTCCTCAGCACCACATAAGCAGAAAAGCCAGAAGTAGCACCATGACTCAAGTGGTAGAGGGCTAGCCTTGAGCTGAAGAGCTGAGGGACAGCGCCCAGGCCCAGAGTTCAGGCCCCACAACTGACCAAAAAAAAAAAAAAGGGGAGGGCAGGATGAATACTCAAAGGTACTTAATTTTTAAGACTGCCCTTTTGACTCATAGGTTATTTAGAAACGTGTTGCTCAATTCCCAAATATTTGGGGATTTTCCAGATGTCTTTCTGATATCGATTTTTACTTTAGTTCTGATATGGCTTAAGAACACACTTGTAAGGTTTCTATTCTTGTTTTTATGGCCCAGAATATGATCTGTAGCTTAGTGTGATGTGCATTTGGCTGCTGTGGCGGAGGGCACTGTGGAATATCTCTTAGGTCAAGCTGGTAGATAAAGCTGCTAGGTCATCAATATCCTCATCGATTTTCTGTCTCTTTGTTTTATCAATTACTGAGTGTGCGGTGTGGATTTGTCAATTTCCCTCCTCAGGTTTATCAGCACTCCCTTCATGTGGTGTGGAGTTTTGTTGTTGGATGCATAGATATTTAGGATCACTACGTCTGCTTGGAGGAGGGAACCTTTTATCATTAGGTAATGGCCCCATTTTACCCCTGAACATTTTTCCTGCTCTTGTCTACTTTGCCAAAATCAATGCATTTACTCCCCTTGAGCTACAGCTTGCGTTTTCCTGATATAGTGCCCTTCCTGTTGCTCTTCGCAGACCCATGTTTTATGTTAACTTAGTAAGCATGGGTTTCTTAGTCAGCATGCACTTACTTCTCGCTGATGGGCTTGGCATGTGAAGTGGCACTTAACAAGACTTGGTAGAGCGAGTTGACTGCTCTCATCTACACGTGGTCTTGCATTTTTCCACCTCTGGCTTGGGTCTCAGCATGGGAACTTTCCTCCAGGCTCTCAGCACCCAGCCTTCCTTTCTCTAACCGCTGAGGTTATCTGGGATGCCTCTGAATGAACTTTTCCTCTCTGTCTCTGTGACTCTGACTTCTCACATTACTATTTTGCTCTTTCTTGTCGTTTCCTTCTGCTGAAATTGCCCACCAAATAGTGCATTGATTATCTTTTCCATTAGAACCTTTATCACGTTATTTCTGAAATTTTAATTTCCTGCCTGTAGGCATAATGCTATATCTAAGTCCGGTCTTTACTCTGCTTGGGCACGTTTGTCTTGTTTATCACATGACTTGCTGGGAGCAGGACTTCTGTGACAGGAAGGGGGCAGGGGCTGAGTGGGGGCCAGGCTGCCATGTTGAAATGGGCAGATCTCTGTATGCCCCCCTGGGGGCTCCGCACTACTCAGGAGCTGAGGGGTGAGGCCGCGGTTGCCATGGCTACCCTGTCCCAGCCAGACGTCCGTTCCTCCAGTGGCAGTGCCCCCGTCCCCCTGCCCCCCAGAGGTGCTGCGCGGACTGTCACTAGCAGAGGCTTCTTGCCACCGCGCTGGTGTAGATGAGAACATTCTGATTCTCCACAAGACCTTGCTTTGGGGTGTGGCCAGCCTGTGTCCCCGTCACCTCCCCTCCCCAGGGAGCTGCATGCCCCTCCCCTCCTCACGAGGATCCGTCCGGTGGGCCTGTGCTCCTTTCCCCCCTCCAGGCTGGTGAGGGCGGCTGTGGACCCTCCCTCCCCAGGACTCTCAGATTCTCCCTGGCCGTCCCCCTGGGCACCTGCTCTGTTTCCTGGAAGCGGCATCTTGAGGGAACCGGCCGTGGAGCTCCATACCTGGAGCTCCAGTGCTTCGTGTCAGACCAGCTTAATCTTTTTGCCATTCGACAGTACATTTCCTCATTAGCTAAATACTCACTCTGTTTTCCTATAGGCTTGTAGAGTCGGAGTGAGTTTGCCCTGACACAATATTCACACAGAGGCCAGAGGAGACACTGAGGATGGTGCACCAAGGCCCTGAGATTCAAGTCCCCAAAGCAAGTTGCATGTGTTGGAGCATTCTGGAGTATAGTCTGGAACATTCTGGGTTCCTGCTGCCACCTGAGATGCACCTGAGCCTGTCACCCCCAACATGTGAGGGCAGGGCGGGCAGTGGGTGCAGCCACGGCCCTGTCCCCACAGCGCAGAACCAGCTCTGAAGGGCAGACGCCAGGGCCTGCCTAGCGGGGAAGAGCCCAGGCAGACTGGGGAGGGAGATGCCAGGAGCAAGTCCAACTTCAGTAATCCTCACTCATGGCTCCCTTCGGTTCTGACTTCTTGGCTGTTTGTATAAACCTAGGTTCGTCTGGTTCTTGTGTCTGTCAGGCAGATGCTGGTCTGGTGTGAGGTCATTGTAAGCATCCGTTTTTAAAAACGACATTTACATTTTCATCCCCAGTCCACTTAATTCATTACAGCAATGATGGAAGGAATTGAGCTCTCTGAGCGCTGGTCACTTCTCTCTTGGGAGAGTCAAGAAGCAATGCCAAAGGATCGTGCGCCTGGATGGGCCTTGTGCTTCCTGCCGAGAGGCCACACCCCCCAAGGCCAGTGCACACAGCGGTGAGCGTGCCACTGTAAGGGCATTTTGCTGTGGATTGTCAGGCTCATTTTGCAGAATTTAAATGAAAAATATTTAAAGTGCCAGCAAATTTCAAATTTCCCAGGCACCGACATAAAGTTGCTTTAGTTTCTATCTCTTTTGATCTGAAAGCAAAAGCAATAAACAAGCCAGCAGCAAATCGATGAGATAATTATTCTGTAACGAATTCCAAGCACTGTAAATTAACCTGTCAAATGGCTCTGGCCCTGTGGGGTGTTCTCAGCCCTGAGAACGCTGAGGGGAGGGTGCGTGTACACCCCACATGCCAGCATCGACACAATCAAGGTCTGGGGAATGGGAAGGGGAGGCTCGGAGGGCCAAGAGGACATGATGAGGAAGGGGGATTACTGCCTCCCCCGGCCCTGCAGCGTGGGATTCCTCTTCCCTGGGACAGTGCACTAGAGGAGGTGTGATTGGGAAGGAGGGTAGGCCTCATGGAGTCTGTCCAGGGAACGGGCCTGTGGCTGCTACCATAATTGGCCGCTCTGGAGCCTCCTCTGCTGCTATTAGGTTAACAAGCTGAGCGCGTCCGTGTGTGGCACACACTCCTCTCGCTCTGCTGTGGGCGGGTGTGCAGCTCTCCTGACTGTGGGTGCCTGCCAGCCAGGCTTCTCCAGAGGGGTGGCACCCAGCACCCCCTCAGGCCTGGCCCTTTCCCAGCGCTCATCCTGGGGCCCAGGCCACGGGGGCGTGGCTCTGTGCGAGGCTGGCCCCCGAGCGTGGGGAAGGCTGGAGGTCCGCAGGGCCGTCCGTGTAGGATGAAAATAGCTAGTGCCCTGTTCTCACCGGGAGGCTGGGAACTTCTTCCACAGCAGTCGGCGCAGGGGTGAGCCAGGAGGTACCAGTGGGTGCGGTGACCTTCTGCTCCCACCCCTCCGCGCAGGCCAGGCAGGTGTTAGCCTGGGAGAAGGGGGTATGCCCATTTCTTCTGGACCTGGTTGGAAACTTGAGGCTCCCTCCAGGCTGCAGGTCTTCGACACCAACTGGGCTCCTTCCCCTTCCCCCTCTCCCCAGGGCCGTGGGCATTGCTAAGCAGGCCCTGAGGGTAGCTTTTTCTGAGGCCAAGTCCTTCTGTTTGGCCAAAGCTTGGGATGAGCCTGGAGTGTGGCAGCTGCCCACGAGCCCTTCGGCCTGCACGCCTTCCATAGCTGGGTCTCTATTCCCATCCCTGAGCAGATCCTTAAGCCCAGCACTCAACGTGACTTTGACTGGGCTCTGGGAGTCGCATCTCCCACACTGGCTGGGCTGGTGGGAGCTCCCGGCCAGCAGTGCGACTAGCCAAGGATGAGAATGAGTCAAGCTGGGACTCAGAGCCCAACCAGGAAATGCTGGTTTCCATGATCTCCAGGAAGAGGTGGCAGACTGTTCTTGCCGGCTCTGAGCCATGATCTGGGGACAAGCATGGCATTGCGGGAAGAGCTGCCGTATGAAGGAAGCCAGTGCAGAGAAGGTGGTCTGTGTGCTGGTGACGACACTTGAGCCCCTAGATCAAAGCAAGTCTCCAGAATATCTCAGTGGCTCTTCTGGCTTAGGCTGGTTCGATTTGAGTTTGCTGTTGCTCACCACAGAAAGGCTTCCCGCAGGTACCTGGTCTGGCTCCCGCAGGTCCAGACCCCGTGAGCTGGCCAGGGCCCTCCCCACGCCGGACCTCTCTGCACATCACGCTCCACATCCTCCTGAGTGGGGTCACCGCAACCCTGGAGATGCACAGCAGGGGAGCCAGGCAGTCCTGCGCTCTGGAGCTGGAGGCCTAGGCAGCTCCTTACCTGTGTCAGTGCCTTGGTATCCTCAGGCCAGTGCGTTTACTAGGTCATCTTCACTCTTGAGGCTAGGCTGAGGGTTAAATGAGAGGGTGCAAGGCAGAGAGAGAGGCCTGGGAGCAGGGAACTTCCTGCCAGGCCCAGCAATAACATATGCATCGAAGGAGTCTGTATCCTCCCACCGAGGTCAAGAGTCCCGAGATATTCTTCACCCGAGTCATCCTGAGGTGTGCGTGCCTGTACTTGATCACCGCTTGAGTGCTGGTAGTTGGCACGTCCATCCTGCGCCCACTGGCAGAGCTCCGGGCAGGCCCCATATCACACCACCGGCCTGTGGTAAATGAGCTGTAACAGCACACAATTATCCTCAAAGGTGATCTGTGTCCTTTTCTTTCTAAATACATTTGTGCATTATGAACCTGTAATTAAAACTGAGGTGGCATCACTCGGCACAAGATCATGCATGCAGAATGAGGGCTGCAGCCAGGCTGAGGGGCTGGGTGTCCCGGCCTTGAGGTAACTGAGCGCTGCCCAACGCATGTGCTGTGTTCTCCCCAATGGAAGTGGACTTGAAAGTCTTCTGAAGACCTCAATGCATGTTAATTCCCCACCCCGTCTCCATTTCCTATGCTCCTTGAAGGCTTTATGAGCAGGTGACATGCTGGGAGGGAAACTGCAGCAGTGGGACAGTCCAGCTCTCCAGCCCTCCCCCGTGGGCAGTGGGACACCCCCTCCCCCGTGGGCAGCAGCAGTGGGACGCCCTCTCCCCCCCAGTGGGCAGCAGTGAGTCGCCCCCTCCCCCCAGTGGGCAGCAGTGGGATGCCCTCTCCCCCCAGTGGGCAGCAGTGAGACGCCCCCTCCCCCGTGGGCAGCAGCAGTGGAGTGTTGGGAGCCCACGTACAGAGTAGGGGGCAGTCCTGTCAGGGCGGAGCTGGGCAGCGGGTGTGCGGTGTGGCCGAGACCCGGGCTGTGCTGAGCCACAGGCCACCAGCTGTGCCAGGGACGAGTGAGTCCTGGTTTCTGGGGCCCAGGCTGCAGCCCCGGACTCCAGCAAATGTCAATCAGACAACTTTGAAGCACCTGTGAGGGATTTTCACTGGCTTTTGAGTCTCCGCTGGTGCTGACATGCTGGCATGCAGTGGGAAGAGGAGGGAGAGGGGAAGGGGGAGGAGGGGACTTGGCATGGAGTCCTCATTCTCTACCTTCTCACTCCATTCCGAGTGGGCAATCTGAGAGCCAGGATGACATCTTCCACTGGCCCCATCTGGTAAAGCACAGCAGCTTCACGGAGGCTGACCTTCAGTAGGACAGTCAAGTCACAGGTGAAGAGCAGGCACACTCAAGGAAGGAAGCCAGGCCCAGCTTCCCTGTCCACCTAGTTAATAGCCCTGGGAGAGGGACCTTGGCCTAGTCTTCCTCCTGAGCTCTGGGAGGGTGCTCCCTTGCCTGATGCCAGCTCCATCTCAATCCCTGGAGATGCCCGAGCCTCCTGAACCTTGGCCGCCCACCACCACCTTGGTAACTACGGCGTCCCAATTGAGCACCACTTGTGATGAGGGAGATTTTGGGGCGGCCTGGTCAGCTGGCTGCAACCTGGGGAGACGGATGAAGGTGTGGAGCATCCCTGTAAGTGCTCTCTATCCAAGAGATAAAGGCCTTACTGCAAAACACGCATGGTACCAGAATAGCTGGAGAAGACATGGACACTCAGGAAGGTTGTTTTGACTAAAAGCTTCTCTGTGTTCTCTGGAAGGTCGAAGGGTGGTTAGCTCAACAGAGACCCCCATCTCCTGGGCACACACGCCAAGCTGAACCCACTGCTCTGGTTTCCAAAACTGCTGCATTTCTGAGTATCTGGAATTTAACAAAAGGGAAGTTCAGCTCAGAGCTGCTTTCTTTCTAGCCCTGGGTCTGTGTCTGGGGCCACAGAGAGCTGGGCAATGGTGCACACGCAGCCTGTGTCCAGAACCCAGAGTGGCCTCCTGTGGGCAGTCTGGGGCACCGGTGAGCAGCCTGGCCATGTGTGTGCCATGGCAGTGTGTGCCATCCGTGAGTCCACCTGTGTCATGCAGTGTGTCACCTGTGTGCTGTCTCTGCGTCCTTGGCACTGCTGTGTGTGCTCACAGTGAGGATGGCCTTCGTGGCTGTTGGTCAAACACTGCTGACTGGATTCACCTCCCCTAGGTGACGAGGGCATGTCTTGTGGGGGCATTTCCGTGTGCACCCCAGCCGCACTTATTTCAGGTCCTGCTGTTAGCCGTGCCCTCTGATCACACCGCATCCTGCAGCCTGTGCACGCTCGCTTGGGTGGTGGCGGGCTGCTCCCGAGTGACTGCTGTCACCCCTAGCAGCAGGGTTCACGCTGCTTGTCCCCGGGTCACAACCTCGCGTGTCGTGCTGGGGCTTACCTGTGTTGTGCGGCCCGCATACTACTCCGTGTGTAACCGGCTCAGCGTGGTGACACTGCAGCTGCCACCTGCTCGTTCTGACAGTCATGAGAGAGCCGAGCTGTGGAGAATAAGGAGAGGTGGGGAGCGGGAAGTGGGGAACCGGAAGTGAGGAGCCGGACGTGAGCCTGAGCTTTTGCTCTACGGGGGAAGCCGCAGCCCGCAGCGCCCCCAGGGCTCGCGACGGCAGAGCCGGGGTGTCGCGGTCCGGACTGCTCGGGCCGGCTGGGGTGCGCTGGGGTCCGCTCGGGTCGTTCGGACTCCCGTGGGCGGGCCGGCAGTGCCTCGAGTCCGCTCCACGGAGCAGACGGGGAGGGCTCGGCTCCAGGGCCGGAAGACCGCGGGGCGGGCCCGCTTCAGACGGGGCCAGAGCGCTGTGGACTCCTCAGATCCAAGCTCAGCGGCCGGCCCGGCTCCACCTCCCGGCCCCACGCGGCAGGCGGCCCCGGGAGGCCCAGCGCCGGCCCGACCACGCCCTGGAGCCAGCCCTGGGGGGCCCTGGCACTCCATTGGACAACCGGAACCTCGTGACCTTCCTTGAGCCAATCACTGCGTCCAGGACACTGCCAATGCTAGAGTGTAAGAGCCTTTCCCATTGGCCTGGGACAAAGGCGCGCTGGCGGAGTCACGTGACCCTCCCTACCCCACTCCCAGCCAAACAAGGTGCGAAGGTGACCGAAGGTGACCGGCTTCCCACGCCCTGGGACCGCGTCCCCTGCTCCCTCCCGACCAGGGCCCCTCGCCTGCCTCCCGGTCACACTGGTAGCTTGGTCCCAGGCCTTTCCCTGGAGGCGGCGCACTGAGGCAGCATGACCCCAGGAAGACCTCCGTGTAACGCGAGCCTTGAGAGCACGCGGGACCCAAGTCAGAGCTCGGCCTGAGCGGAGGCGCCTGCGCCCTGGAGTCCAGGAGCCAGGGGGGACATGAGCGCTGCAGGGGACATGAGCGCTGCAGGGGACATGAGCGCTGCAGGGGACATGAGCGCTGCAGGGGACATGAGCGCTGCAGGGGGGATGAGCGCTGCAGGGGGGGATGAGCGCTGCAGGGGGCATGAGCGCTGCAGGGGGGGATGAGCGCTGCAGGGGGGGATGAGCGCTGCAGGGGACATGAGCGCTGCAGGGGACATGAGCGCTGCAGGGGACATGAGCGCTGCAGGGGGCATGAGCGCTGCAGGGGACATGAGCGCTGCAGGGGGGATGAGCGCTGCAGGGGGATGAGCGCTGCAGGGGGGGATGAGCGCTGCAGGGGGGATGAGCGCTGCAGGGGGCATGAGCGCTGCAGGGGGGGATGAGCGCTGCAGGGGGGATGAGCGCTGCAGGGGGCATGAGCGCTGCAGGGGGGATGAGCGCTGCAGGGGGGATGAGCGCTGCAGGGGGCATGAGCGCTGCAGGGGGGATAAGCGCTGCAGGGGGGATGAGCGCTGCAGGGGGATGAGCGCTGCAGGGGGATGAGCGCTGCAGGGGACATGAGCGCTGCACGGGGATGAGCGCTGCAGGGGGATGAGCGCTGCAGGGGACATGAGCGCTGCAGGGGGGATAAGCGCTGCAGGGGGGATGAGCGCTGCAGGGGGATGAGCGCTGCAGGGGGGGATGAGCGCTGCAGGGGGGATGAGTGCTGCAGGGGACATGAGCGCTGCAGGGGGGATGAGCCCCGCAGGGGGATGAGCGCTGCAGGGGATGAGCGCTGCAGGGGGGATGAGCGCTGCAGGGGACATGAGCGCTGCAGGGGACATGAGCGCTGCAGGGGGATGAGCGCTGCAGGGGCATGAGCGCTGCAGGGGACATGAGCGCTGCAGGGGGGGATGAGCGCTGCAGGGGGGATGAGCGCTGCAGGGGACATGAGTGCTGCAGGGGACATGAGCGCTGCAGGGGGGGATGAGCGCTGCAGGGGGGATGAGCGCTGCAGGGGACATGAGCGCTGCAGGGGACATGAGCGCTGCAGGGGGATGAGCGCTGCAGGGGGGGTGAGCGCTGCAGGGGGGATGAGCGCTGCAGGGGACATGAGCGCTGCAGGGGGGGTGAGCGCTGCAGGGGGGATGAGCGCTGCAGGGGGGGTGAGCGCTGCAGGGGGGATGAGCGCTGCAGGGGGATGAGCGCTGCAGGGGGCATGAGCGCTGCTGGGGGGGATGAGCGCTGCAGGGGGATGAGCGCTGCAGGGGGATGAGCGCTGCAGGGGACATGAGCGCTGCAGGGGGGATGAGCGCTGCAGGGGACATGAGCGCTGCAGGGGGGATGAGCGCTGCAGGGGGGGGTGAGCGCTGCAGGGGGGGTGAGCGCTGCAGGGGGGGTGAGCGCTGCAGGGGGGGTGAGCGCTGCAGGGGGATGAGCGCTGCAGGGGGGATGAGCGCTGCAGGGGGGATGAGCGCTGCAGGGGGATGAGCGCTGCAGGGGACATGAGTGCTGCAGGGGGATGAGCGCTTCAGGGGACATGAGCGCTGCAGGGGGATGAGCGCTGCAGGGGACATGAGCGCTGCAGGGGGGATGAGCGCTGCAGGGGGGATGAGCGCTGCAGGGGGGGATGAGCGCTGCAGGGGGATGAGCGCTGCAGGGGGGATGAGCGCTACAGGGGGGATGAGCGCTGCAGGGGGGATGAGCGCTGCAGGGGGATGAGCGCTGCAGGGGGGATGAGCGCTGCAGGGGGGATGAGCGCTGCAGGGGGATGAGCGCTGCAGGGGGGATGAGCGCTGCAGGGGGATGAGCGCTGCAGGGGACATGAGTGCTGCAGGGGGATGAGCGCTGCAGGGGACATGAGCGCTGCAGGGGGGATGAGCGCTGCAGGGGGGGATGAGCGCTGCAGGGGGGGATGAGCGCTGCAGGGGGGATGAGCGCTGCAGGGGGATGAGCGCTGCAGGGGGGATGAGCGCTACAGGGGGGATGAGCGCTGCAGGGGGGATGAGCGCTGCAGGGGACATGAGCGCTGCAGGGGACATGAGTGCTGCAGGGGACATGAGCGCTGCAGGGGGGGGTGAGCGCTGCAGGGGGGATGAGCGCTGCAGGGGGGATGAGCGCTGCAGGGGACATGAGCGCTGCAGGGGGGATGAGCGCTGCAGGGGATGAGCGCTGCAGGGGGGATGAGCGCTGCAGGGGACATGAGCGCTGCAGGGGGATGAGCGCTGCAGGGGGGATGAGCGCTGCAGGGGGATGAGCGCTGCAGGGGGGATGAGCGCTGCAGGGGGCTGAGCGCTGCTGGGGGGATGAGCGCTGCAGGGGACATGAGCGCTGCAGGGGACATGAGCGCTGCAGGGGGGATGAGCGCTGCAGGGGGATGAGTGCTGCAGGGGGATGAGCGCTGCAGGGGGCATGAGCGCTGCAGGGGGGGGTGAGCGCTGCAGGGGGAATGAGCGCTGCAGGGGGACATGAGCGCTGCAGGGGGGATGAGCGCTGCAGGGGGGATGAGCGCTGCAGGGGACATGAGCGCTGCAGGGGACATGAGCGCTGCAGCGGATGAGCGCTGCAGGGGACATGAGCGCTGCAGGGGACATGAGCGCTGCAGGGGACATGAGCGCTGCAGGGGGATGAGCGCTGCAAGGGGGATGAGCGCTGCAGGGGGGATGAGCGCTGCAGGGGGGATAAGCGCTGCAGGGGACATGAGCGCTGCAGGGGGATGAGCGCTGCAGGGGGGATGAGCGCTGCAGGGGGATGAGCGCTGCAGGGGGATGAGCGCTGCAGGGGGGGTGAGCGCTGCAGGGGGGATGAGCGCTGCAGGGGGATGAGCGCTGCAGGGGGGATGAGCGCTGCAGGGGGGATGAGCGCTGCAGGGGGATGAGCGCTGCAGGGGGATGAGCGCTGCAGGGGGGATGAGCACTGCAGGGCGGGGAGAACCTTCCAGCATTGCCTGTACGAGCTTGGGGCTCGCACACAGTTGCTCTCTCTGGGTTGCTTCAAGTGGTTACTGGGTGGTTCACGGGTGTGAACAGCGTGTAGGTGTGCATGTGTGTGTTCACAGGTGTGAACTGCGTGTAGGTGTGCATGTGTGTGTTCACGGGTGTGAACAGCGTGTAGGTGTGCATGTGTGTGTGTGTGGGGCTGGGGCTGGCGGGGCTGGCGTCCCCAGGTCTTTCAGGTGGTGCGTCTCTCCAGCTCTTGGTGGTTAGTTATTCACCTCACTTCCAGAGAACAGTTTTCCTGGTTGTGTGAACTTTCCAGACATAATACTTTCAAATAATTTCATTAGCGACTTCATTTTCAGCTGTACATGACTTTATTAAAAGCTTCCTCTTAGGAATTAAATTTTTCATGCTTGGTTTCCACCTGATGGGGAATTCACTGCAGAATTTACTTAAATTTATTGCAGTGTTCTGTGAGTTAATAGTGTGTGCATTGCTAACCAGCAAATGGATTTCTTCAACTTTACTTTTGTGCACACCTGGGGATTATGAAGAGTATTCTGTTGGTAACTGACCTTTTCTTCCTAAATGTGCACACTACAGGAGGGAATGGGATGGGTTTGGCAAAAGCTGGTCAGTTTGGGTTCCTGTCTAACAAGCTCATTATTTGGAGTGTACAGTTGCTTATGACAGACCTTTTCTATTTCCTTTTTGTTGCTCGAGGGGCTTGAACTCACCTCGGTGCTGTCCCTGAGCTCTTTGCTCAAGGCTAGCGCTCTACCACTTCAAGCCATAGCGCCACTTCTGGTTTTTGAGTGGTTAACTGGAGATAAGAATCTCCTGGAGAGGTTTCTGCCCAGGCTGGCTTCAAACCTTGATCCTCAGAGCTTGGCCTCATGAGTAGTTAGGACTACAGGCGTGAGCCACCAGCATCCGGCTTGACTTTCTTGCTAACACAGCACTGGTGGACCACATGTCTCCCTATGCAGACCGCCGCTCATCCTGTCAGGTTTTTGCTTGCTTTGTTTTGTAGAGGAGCAACATTTTAAAATAGTCTTTCCATTGTTACCACAAACCGTCAGCATTTTGTGAGAAGCTGCTGCACCAGGCTTGTGCTCCTGCTGCAAGTGGAACCACAGCGCCCGCTCTCCACGGGCCTCACAGCTGTTGCAGACACTGATATGGAACCGTGAGTGCTTTTATCCGACCGCTTAAATTGTATAAAATTGCACGTATTTATGGGCTAGTGTGGTAATGTGATACATGTAAACACTGGATAGTGAATGGAT